ATTTAATTTGAAAACGTAGGCTAAAATATCTACCCACTTGTGTCTCAAAATTCTTATGCTTAAGTCATAAGACACCAAAAAAGTCCGAAATTTGAAATGTCTGAATTACCACTGACATCATCACTCAGTAAGGATTAGTGTCTTTGCTTGGAGGAAAATTAGTTTTGATTGAACGCCTAGCCAGTTAAAGAGGTGCATCTCCAGCACATGTAGTGGAAAATTCCTTGAAGATTGATGTTATACTGCAAGAACTGCTTCAATTTATGAAAGTTTGTTCCATGTTCCTGTGTTTCTCTTTTCTACGTTATCAGTGCAACAGTGTGAGGGCCAAGCCTCGCAACATCTTTTTAAATGGATCCCGTTTGAATGGATCCCATGACTCTATTAATGGTGTAGGCAAGATTTAAGGCAGAAGGAAAGAATTGACAGAAAAAGTTAGAGGTAGCAAAGGTGGGAAAAGCAGCAATATATGTGGGGGGAGAAAATAATGATACTGAGGTTATCAAATATTGGTGATTTTTTGTAGATTTTGTGGTGCTTCCACAGTAGGCTCAGGGTCTCTGTGATTTGCAGGGTGTCGTTGCTGTGGGGACCTTGCTAGAATAGTATTTCCCCTTCAGGGTTACTATGGGCCACACTAAGTTTATAATATATGTGGGAGGGCTTTGTGATTGCTATTGGTGATATTGGCTGCCTCGGCACCTTTCCCAGCCAGCACGCTAGCGCGCACCGGTACAAGGAAGGGAGAGTCTTCTGTGGTCCGTGTGAAACAAAGCTGCGGCTATCAGCAACCTGCAGGCTTTGAGGTCCCAGGCCTTACTTTAATCTGTTGTAATATCCATGTGTCTTATATATGTATTTTTTCACAGTGTCCATAGTCATCTGGGCTAGAGGGGAGGTTTCTAAATGAGACTCAGCTGGGATTTGCATCTGACAAGTGTGGGTTCAGGAGTGGTGTTTTGTGGCAGAGATGCACAGTGGCAGCTCTAGGGGCTGGTCCCTACCTAAGTAAGCCAGGGGATGAATTTGCAACACATTACACTGCAGCAGGTTGCGGCTGCCTGCGTAGGAGCTCTTAACACATGCCGAACACTGTGTGTTTTGCTCAACTTTGACAGCGAGCTGACACAAGAGCACGCTGTGCTGCTCTCTAGGATTGACTGTGGGGAGCTGATGCAGTAAAGTAGTCTGAATTCATACCTTAATCACCTGCTCAGTGACTTGTAGATAAGTCTGTGAAATCTTGGTTTAGAGTGGAATAAATGAAATTATGGTCAGGCATTGGAACAGGCTGCCCAGGGAAGTGCTTGAGTCCCCATCCCTCGAGGTGTTCCAAAAACGTGTAGATGTGACACTTCAGGACATAGTTTAGTAGGAATGGTGGTGTTGGGTTGACGGTTGGACTTGATGATCTTAGAGGTCTTTTCCAACCTATGATTCTATGAAATCAGAACCTAGCCCACCATCTCAGAGTAAGGTTTGGAGAAGGGAAAAAAAAATTACACTCTTTTAAAAAAAAAACCCCACAAAAAACCAAACACTCCCAGTGTTTGTATGTGACCTAAAGTGTAACCAGGTAAAAGACCATTTTATCAATTGTAACTTTTTATTTAAGATTATTTTTATAAATTTATATAGCAGGGAAAACATTCTTTAGTGCAGTGTATATTTAGATAAATTTCACCCACAGACCTTTGGCACAATATTAGCAACGAAGATGCGTGGTGCTCACAGGACTAGAAGCTAGAGTTATCTTTGGGACCTAGAGGTATTATCCAGTATCTGTAAATATTCTAGTAGGAGCTCAAAACTGGATATTTTTTTAGTGTCTGTAGTGCTGTATGTGCTTGGCTTGGCATCTGCTTCACGTGGAATGTTTCAGGGGGAACAGGGAGGATGTTTATTTTTCTTTTTTGGTTTTGAAGTATTTACAACAAAATGGAACCAATAAAATGTAGCAAGAAAGCATGGACAAGGAAGAAATAATTAAGGGTATAGGTCCATCTCCCAGTTCTAATTTATGACATTTCAGTCCTATGCTACCTCTCCACTAATATCACACTTGTGGCAGGGAAGCTTTCTAAGACGAATGACCTGTATCAGTAAGTGGGTTGGATTTAAACATGTAATAAGTAAGTAGTATTTTGTGAGATTCTGGGTTTGACGTGAAACATTTCACTGACTTGGTTTGTAATACAGCCCTGCAAGTAAGCTGTGAGGGAGGGAGTAGGGAGCTGCTGGAAATGAGGGAGCTTAATGAAGCGTTGCCACTGGATAAACGGTGATGCTGAATTATGTTCTGGGAATGTGGCTAGTGAAATAGCTGTGTATTTGTAGCTCAGCTGGCTAAATAGTAATGAGCACTGCAGCATCTCTGTGTTGGGTTTTGGGCCCCTCGGTACAAGAAGGACATTGCATTGCTGGAGCATGTCCAAAGAGCAACGAAGCTGGTGAGGGGTCTAGAGAACAAGTCTCACGAGGAACGGCTGAGGGAACTGGGGTTGTTTAGTCTGGAGAAGAGGAAGCTGAGGGGGAACCTTATCGCTCTCTACGACTACCTGAAAGGAGGTTGTAGTGAGGCAGGTGTTGGTCTCTTCTCACAGGTAACTAGCGATAGGACAAGAGGCAATGGCCTCAAATTGCATCAGGGGAGGTTTAGGTTAGATATTAGGAAAAAATTCTTCACTGAAAGAGTGGTCAGGTATTGGAACAGGCTGCCCAGGGAGGTGGTGGAGTCCCCATCCCTGGAGGTGTTTAAAAAACGTGTAGATGTGGCACTTCGGGGATATGGTTTAGCAGGCATGGTGGTGCTGGGTGGATGGTTGGACTGGATGGATCTTAGAGGTCTTTTCCAACCTTAATGATTCTATGATTCTATGAACACTTCAAACCCCTTTTTCCAATACAGACATCTACGAAGGAGAGACAGCTAGAAAGGAAGTGGTTTTGTGTTAAGATATAATAAATAGTGTTTGCCAGTAACTCTTGGACATGACTAAAAGCCTAATTTTTGAATTAAGAAAAACGTTTCTAAACCACCAATTGGGTGGCAATACGGCCACTTAGGGAAGGG